GCTGCCACCCCCGGCGTCGGGCCCTGACTGAGGAAACCTGCAAAAAGAAGCGATTCGGCTTCGGGCCGCGGTGGCACCGCGTACGGCTTAGAAGAGGCCCCAGCCAAGTGGAGAGCAGCGGGGGACATCCTGCAGCTGGAGAGGAACCGGCCCTCTGTGGGGTGTGCAGCGCTGTGTCCTGGCTAAGGCTTACTTGCTAAAGTGCATGTATTTCATATTCTAGATTAAATCAAACGTTATCTTCCTAAGATTTTTATGAAAATAGGTAGCCAGGCAATGAGAGACCTCCTCAGTGTCATCAGCGAGGAAAAGACCACAAGGTGAATGCAGCTGTATTAGACAAAGTATTTGTGAAGAAAGACATTGGAACCCAGGCTTCCTTAATTCTAGTTTTTAAAAACTGCTCGAATTGAAATCACAGAATTATATGAAGAATGTTGCATGTAGAGAATAGCTGTGGCTGTGTTGATATAAGGACAGAGGTGAAGGAAGGAAGATCTGAAGCCCGAAGAGGTGTCTTTCATTAAACTGACTACTATGGTTTGGTCCAATAAAAAAAAAGGCAAACTTTGGAATATGAGAGAATTACCTTAAATCTGAATTATCTCAGAATGTAAAGATACCATTCTAAAAGTAATACAGTTACTTGTTATGATCATTTAGTTTTAATGATAAGTATCTTTAAAACAATTTTCATGACAGTGGTATAAATACCTGACAGAACCTAGTTCTATGAAATGGTGCCATTTAATATTGTTTATAGGTGAACCATGGTTTTTATGACTAATTACAGTTTATTTTTTATTTCAAAGGCAGCAATTAAAAACTAAAATTAAATTGGAGCTCTTTTGAACTTGTAAACCTTATTGCTATTTGTATTTTACATTTTTAAAGTTATATATAAAACCACAGAGCTAATATTTGGCATCTTAAATTTTTCACAGCAAAATGATGCAAAATGTGCATCTGGCTCCTGAGGCTGATGAGGATGATCTTTATTCTGGCTACAATGATTATAATCCCACGTTTGACACAGAGGTAAAAATACTTCCTGTTTCCTACCTTTCCCATATGTAGGATTTTAACTTCTAAGTACAAGATAAGAACATGTGGGTACAGTAATGCACAAGTGTACTACTGCTTTGAAGTGAAATTTTCTTTATTTAGCAAGAGATATATAAAGTTTCACCAGGATCTTTTTGAAGAATTATTTTTTGGATAGTTTTCTATTCCAACAAAATACTTGTGTGCATCTCATAGCAGATCTAATATGCTTTAATGGTTAGAATTTATGAAGTATAAAATCCTAGTTATTCGAAGGCCATATTCACATTCAGGAACATTCAATGTGGTGTTTCCCAGACAGCGTGCAGCTGGAAGTTTTCTGACAAAAGAGGCTACTTATTGGTTAACAAGTCATTGATCTCTTACTGTGCTGCAGCTGAAGGAAGTAACAGTGGAGGAGTCCTGCAGGTTTCTGAGCTATCGGTATAGCGTCTTGGATGACTTAAGGTAACCCTGCAGACCACTTGCTGGTAATTGCAGGTGCAGTGAGAATTGGAACGACACGGGGGTCCATTAGTTCAAACCCACTACCCTGCTAAAAGCAGGGCCAGTGTTGCAAGACTTGGCATCTTGTGTGAAATCACAATGCCAAATTCATGGGAGTTGCAGTGTGAGCTCAGAGACATGAGGTATCTTAGTGTATTGGTGTGACAGGCATTCTTGTTAAAATTTAGAAATAGTGCTAGTAGTAAGCTGTTGGACAGAAATAAAATTTCATGTTATATTTTATCACTAAAGCTCTACTTCCTCAGTGTGGTTTTATTTTTCAGAGAATAATGAATTTTCACATTTCCTAATCTAAAATACCAAAAAAGATAGACCAAATAATATAATCATTATTTATTGTCAGTAAAACCTGTCATTCAGTTATCGTCAAGTTACGTATTTTTGGAAGAAGACTTGGGTTTCTTACCAATCTGCTTTCAGTAGTCGTAAAGTTTTGGAATTGTGGCTTTGGGTGTTGTGGTTTTAAAAGGGTTCATATTTTTATTTTGTCTTTTCTAGGATTTAGAAAATGACGCAGCTTTTCAACATGCAGCAAGAACAAGTCATGGTAGAAGACTTCCTGTAAGTACCTTTTAAAAAACATTGCAATAGTGTAGACCTTCTCCAGAGCCCTAGCTCTAATTTTGGCACTGGTACAAACTTATCTGGGGAATCTCTTAACTTTTTTGTCTACTACTAACATGAAGAAACACACTACAGTTATTAATATGAAAAATAAGTAAAAAAATTAGCAGAGCAGAAGTTCCATTAAGTTCTGGAGTTAAACTAGAACAAACAAGGAACTTTGGTTGGAAATGTGTATTCGGGTTTGACAAAATGAGATAAAACCATGTTAAAGAGCAAAATTATATATTCCGAAAGGACTTTGTTTAATATTCTATGCATAGAATTACTCGCTCTGACATATAAGGTTGAGATACATAGTAGTGGGATTTAGAAAATTGCGTGTAATTGTTCTGATAACTTTTTGCTCCGTATTCATGTAATTTACATTAATTTTCTTACTTTCATTTAGCTGTGACTTAATCTTTTATCAGTTTTCAAAACTAAATGTAAGCTGGCACCTGCACTTTAGAAGTTCGTACTATATTTCTAAAGAAGAGCTGGGACTGTCTGATTAATATTACTACTTTGCCAGAATAATCTGGTTCTACAATGAGGATCCTTTCTATAACAATTGAAGCATTCTTTCTATGAATTCACTAGAGAAACTATATGGAATAACTGATAATTAACACATATGGTTGTTAATTGGTGGGGGGTTTTTTGTTTGGTTGTTTTTTATCCACCCAGGTGACAGCCAAAATTCCTGGTACATCAGCTTCGAGACCTTTAGCCACTGGATCTGGGGTATGTCTTTGTTTTGTTGTATTATTAATGAAAATGAGGTATTTACCAAAAGATAAATTTACCATTTAGTCCCTTGCACAAAGTGAGCTCCTTTTATCTAAGTATTTCTTTCCAGTGAGCTGCATGTATTCATTAATTTGAATTAATTCATAACTCCACACTTGGTCAAGGCATGGTTACGGATTTATTCTTTTTTTTTTTTCTTCTTTTTCTCCCTTTTCTCCCAAACCCTACTACAAATCAACTTCTGTACTGTATAAGGCAGTAGATCCCAAGGTATTAACCTGATTTTCTTGCAGGGGGAACTGGGTGGGATGTTATTTGGCCTTGAGAAAGTTTTTTTGAAAGATAAGGTGAAATTGAGTCTTAAAAAATATGGCCTTTCAAATCACCTCTAGTTTAATCAGAAAAAGTTGGTTGTATTCTTTGGTATGCTTAACCCATTGTAACTCTTAAATAACTAACACTTTAACCTGGTTTTCTATGGAAACAGAAGTTACACACTAGTGATATATCCACTGTCCCCTTATCCCAATAAATTTGCAACCTGTTAGCCTGTCTCAGTCAAATTTGAAAAGATAGTGCTCTTAGATACAAAGTTCCTGTAAGTTTTATGACAAAGAAGGGAGATCACATTGCTTTAGATCTCTTACGCAAGTTAGCTGGGTAACAATTTCAAGTACACCTAAATTCTATTATAAATCACTGAAATACAACCTTTAATCTGAACCTTTTGTTACCTGCTCTGGATATATTCCTTTTGAGACTGTTTTTTTCTTAGCAGTTGTATTTGCAGATGTTTAGTGTAGTACCATGCTGTGACAGGAAAAGCAGCTTGTGAAAGAAGTGCACAAAAAGCACTTCCTGAGGATAATAAAGACTGAAATGTTTATCTGCATTAGTAGAGCTAGAAAACTCCAAAGCATTGTCCAGTCTACAGCACTACCTGTTTCACTCTGCAGATTTGCTTCTCCTAAGCTACAGTCCTTGTTAATGTAGATTCAGCCCGAACTGATAAAACGGAAAACAGTCATCATGTGTGATGGATAGTGGGTAAAATAATAAAACATAGTAGGAATTAGGGGAATACTTTTTCATGACCTGAAACCCTTTATTTTTGTCTGTTTGTAATTTATATTTGTAGCAACCCTTAGCACTTACTACTAAATATTTCTTATTTCTTGACATTTTTAACACTGCTACAGAAGGACAGTATGTGGCATGTCAGCTAATAGAAAAGATATCCATTGGCAGTTTCAAAGTATATCTTCATGAAAGTATGACTTAAGAGATTAATATAGGGGCAGATTTTATCAGCTGTACTCAGATTCTTACTGAAGTATTTTGTGTAAATTACTTGTTCAATTTCAGTAATTTCAGTAATTTAATAATGGTAAGTACTACTGCCTCAGATAAATGTCTATGTATTTTTTTTAAAGGTCTGACAGAAATATCCAAATATATAAAAAAGAGTATTGTGAATTTGTGCTGAGGTGTTCAAAAATCTTTAAGTCTGCCAGGCACTGGCAGTGTATTGCATATGAATAACATAAATGGGAATTTTGCTATGAACTGATGTGAGAGTAGATCAACTCTTAAAACTGAAGTGTTGAGAAGACTCTACATACCCTTTACAGGCTTCTAATGCTTTGTGAATGCTAGTTTCAAACAATTTACTTATTTTTGTAGTCAAAGGCAACTTTAACTTCATCTATGGGAAGACCAATGACAGGAGCTATACAGGTAAAAGTTTCAGTACTTACATTTTATATTGAATTGGAACAGCAAAGTTTTCTGATAAGTGTTAAGGTTTGATACAAGCATGTAAAGTTCATTGAAATTATACAAATTATTACACTCTTTTAATTTGTCCTTTTTTTGAAAATACTATTGTCAGAAAGCATGAGGGTTGTGATGAGTATTTTATTTGAGCACAGGTTTGGAAGCAATACCAGTGTAGTGCTTTTTAACACTTATTGACATGCAATGAATAATTTTTCATTGAAATAGGAGAGAGGTAGATTCTGGTTTTCATGTTTTTCTTATGTACTTAATACTCTAATAAGAATCTGCTGCAATTTATCAATGAATTTCCCACCACCACCCTTATGTATATTGACTTAATGCTAATTATATCAATAGCCACTATAATTCTTTTGTGTCAGTTCAGGTGGGAAACAGGAGTTACCAGGGAGCATCAAGAGTAGGGCTATTCCCTAAGGGAAGGCAAGCCTTTCCTTAGAAGGAAATCGCATGGCCAGCAGTGCAGGGACCTCAGCAGCCAGGACCCAGTCCCACAATACCTGAGCAAGGCAAGTAAGATCCACCCAGGAATGGTGGCTGTGGCCTACCAAAAGTCTAGAGCATAAGGCAGTATCATGGTGATGAGGCAGAGCCAAGGTCAAGCCAAAAAGTCAATGCGTAGGCCAGGCTTAGGACTAACAATCACTGGCCAGATCCATAGTGACAAGGCAAGGCTAAGGTCAATCCAGGAGGTTAGTCCACAGGTTGAACTCTGAATCACGGGTCTCTGTGGCCAGGCATAGCTGTGGCCACTGTGGAAACCAGTAGTCCTCCAACAAAGCTCAGGCAGGGGCTGAGGGCCCAGGGTTGAGCTTAAATCAAGCTCCTGGACCCATAGGTAGGGTGTGTGGCTGGAGGCCCCAGCAGAGTCCAGTCAGGGCCATTAAGGTTTATTATTGTACTCAGTGTCCTGACAAGAAAGTTTAATAAGCTGGCGTGGGATGAGGTCAGACATTCTTGTGTTGGGAGGCATTGTTTGGTGGTAAGTTACAAATACAAAAAAAATTGTAGTTTGTTTGTGCCTCTCTTGGTTTAGATAAAGTAAAATTTTCTGATCCATAATCTTATAGGATTCTCTTTATTGTCAATAAAAGTTAAAAAAGCAACTGAGTTCTGAAACACTGACAGTAAGCTAGAGTAAATTACAGATCTCAAGACCAACAATTCTTAAGAATTTTCTAAAAATAAAAGATGTTTGAAATTAGGTATTCTGAATACATATAAAATGTGTCAGTTACAGTTTCCAATAGTGTTTGCTCCTCTACTTTTTAGACTGTTATGATAGAATACCAGGTTGGAAGGGACCTCAGGAATCGTCTGGTCCAACCCTGGTCCAGTACCGTCTAGACAAGATGGCCCAGCACCCTGTTCAGCCAAATCTTAAGAGTGTCCAATGTTAGGGAATCCATCACTTCCCTGGGGAGATTATTCCAATGGCTGATTGTTCTCATTGTGAAAAATTTTCCTCCTGTGTCCAATTGGAATCTCCCCAGGAGTAACTTGCACCCGTTACCCCTTGTCTTTTTCATGTCACCCCTTGTAAAAAGGAAGTCTCCGTCTTCTTTGTAGCCACCCTTTAAATACTGGAACATGTGATAAGGTCTCCCCTAAGCCTTCTTTTCTCAAGGCTGAACAAACACATGTTATATGATGTATATTAGAGAAACAAAAACATTTTAAAAAATACTCAATTTACTGAGGTGGTAAAGAACTGATTCTTGTATTTAAAGGTTTTGTAATATGTAACTGATGTCCACACTGTCCACAATCTATATTTTAAGGAAGATTATTTTAATACGTCTTCCTTTTTGTTTAAGGATGGAGTTGCTCGACCAATGACAGCAGTGCATGCTGCAGGTTACACTAAGGCAGCTATGAGAGGTATGGTTTGTAGAAATCACCAGTTGCCAGAGGGAGATGTTATTTTACAATTTTCAGTACTCTGTTAATTTTGCAGGTTCTTCATTTGATCCTCTTGGCCAAGCAAGAGGTCCTGCTCCACCTCTGGAAATGAAAAATTCAGACAGGTTCGTTCAGTTTTGCATGAAATTATTTCAAAGCATTAATAGCAACAAAAGGACAACCATGGGTAGAGTTTAAAAACATTCAGGCAGTTATGAAACCTTAAGGGGCCAAACTTTTAACTTTGTGGAATAATGACGCAAACATTTGTGCATGTGGTTAGCTGACTTGCCTGAGCAGTTGCACTGACTTTCATGAATGTCTGATTTCAGTGATTTCTGGTTCTGACGGTAGGTCTGCTGTTTTTTCCCTGTTCGCTCTGACCTTAGCTCTTGAGTAAAACTGAGATTGTGAAAGTTTTGCAGGCTGGTGTCAATGTTGGGGAGTTCACCAGGAACAAGTCATTGAGCTTTTCAATACAAAAGTTGTATTCCTTAAATATAGCTATATAGAAATAGAGAATCCTACTGAAATGTTTGGTTATTTAACTGAGGAAAAAATCTAGATAAATAATAACTTTATTAAAATCTGCATTTGCAAGCTACACTTTAGTTATCTATGCAAATAAAGGTTCAATTAATTGCTCTTAAAACAATATTTCATTTAACTAGTTGTTTGATTTGAACATTTTCCCAGCCAATCTGTTTGTTCTGTCATTACTTCTCCTGAACAAATCAGGCCCATGAAATTTGCATGTCTGTCTTGTTCTCATAAGAGGATTTATATTTTCTTAGTTCTTTGTTCTCAGATTAGAAGTGTGAATATGTTATCTTTGGAAGATCTTTTCTAAGCATAGTTTCACATTATATTTTCTTTGATGGGAAAACCAGTTAGGTGTGGCATGTGATACATCACTGTGTTGTTTTATTGAGAATATCCTGTGTATAAGCTTAGTGCTTGCAGTTATGCTACCAGTGTTAATCCTTTTATTGTTATTTTAATTTTAGTTCAGAGGAGAAGATTAGACAGTTGGAAAAAAAAGTGAATGAACTGGTTGAAGAAAGCTGCATTGCCAACAGCTGTGGAGACTTGAAATTGGTAATTTTTCTGGATTTCACTTCACTTTTGGTATTATGTGAAGAACGATTTGTATAGATAGATGTTTCAAACTGACTTGGGTTCAAACATTTCAAATTATTAAAGTCATCTTAATTCTAACTTTGCTATGACTCTTCTAATCCAGTGATACCCTGTGTTGAGGGGGAAAAAAAAAAAGCAGGAGCTGTATTTCTTGTGTGTATATTTGTTAAGATTTCAGTGTTGCAAAATCTCCCTTCCCCATATCGCCACTGGCCTCTTCAAATGGATCTGATCAATTAGTCATACTGGCACAGACTTGCCCAGTCTAACTTGTGGACTCTATGGGAGTGGGTGACCCCTTCTTCAATACCAGGCTTGTCGTTGGCATCTTTGCAGCATTTGATCCTCAGATGTGTAAGGATCTTGTCTGAGTGACGTTCCATTTCCTTGATGTTGCTTGGGCTTTTCGGATAACGTAATTTTCATCCAGGACTGGTACTCAGCACCAGGATCAATCTCACTTAAGCTACCTCCACAGTACCCTTCCATATCAGGGGCTTTTTGGTGCTATAGCATATGGTAGACACTATATCGCTTTTGTTGCACCACAAGGAGTCAACATCAAGATGAACTATTTCATCATCATAGAATCATAAAATGATTTTGGTTGGAAAAGATCATTAAGATCAAGACCAACTGTTAACCTAGCACTGGCAAGTCCAACCACTAAACCATGTCCCCAAGCACCATATATATGCGCATTATAAATCTTCTTTCAGTCCTTCAGCCAAGGAGACCTTCCAAGCTAAGCAAACACCAGTACCCATCATAGGACAGTGGTAATAAAGCACATTAGCCTTGGGTTCCAGTGCGTCAAAATAGCCTCTAACTCTTCCTTCTTAGGACTAGGCTTATGTTGTATTCCATATGCTTTGGACCGGTCAGCTCTGGTAGAATCATAGAATCATTAAGGTTGGAAAAGACCTCTAAGATTATCAAGTCCAACCGTCAACCCAACACCACCATGCCTACTAAACCATGTCCTGAAGTGCCATCTCTACATGGTTTTTGAACACCTCCAGAGATATTTCATGTTACAGTGGCAGGAGCTGCCCTTTGTAGAGAAATATCCAGTGTTTTATTAAGAAGTGTACTTGGTTTGAGGTTTTTTTCTCTCTTCAAGACAGCAGGTTAGCTGATTGAATTAAGACAAGATTGAATATTGATCATCTTGATTGTGGTAGGTCAGTCTAGACAGTTCTGATATCAGGATGATACTGTGCTGCGTAAGGTGTCTTTATGCTTGCGCCTACTAGGACAATCATCTGGAATCCTGGTCTACCTCCATCATACTCCTTTCCAATGATTTCTGGATTATCTGTTGAGCTAATAGTGTGATAGCTCCTTTGGAGAGAGGCATTTTCAGTTAGAAAGTCTTTGCCTAGCAGTCCACAGTGTAGGGAGTTTACTTCGTTGGGGAGTTAACAAGAAGGCTTGTAACAGTGAAACTCTGAGTTCTGAAGGGGGACTTAAGTCTAGTGTTTAGACTGGGTCCACGCTTCAAGCCAACAAAGATCCTCTTATGTTGCACTTCAGAAATAAAACTGCTTTTTTTTACTGCTGATCAGAGAGTATGAAATAAGTCTATCCATTCACTATATTCATTTAGGATAAGTATCCTTAGCAGACCTATCCTAATTTATTTCTGATATAATGTCTGAATTTCACCTTCACTAGGAGATGAGCCAACCTGTTTTGTTGATTTTTCTTGAGCCTCTTGCATGTATGGCTAAGAATGTTCTTTGTTTCTTGATGTCAAAGGGTTGTTTCTCGCGTAGATTATACCAGAACATTCTGAGGGTCCTTTAGGATGTTTGTGTTAGTTTCTGACAAGTCCAGCAGAATATCCATTTTCCTGCAGAAGTCATCAAAGTTTCCAATTCATTATCTATAAAACAGCCAAGTTGGATTTGCCTTCTATCATAAGGGCTAAGAATCAAGCTGTATCTTGAAATACTTCCTTCACTGCTAGCTGCCAAATAGCTACCTTGATTACTAGCCATTCCTTTTTTTTTAACCCTTGTGCCCTTGCAGAGGCATACAGCACTGCTAATGGCACTCATAGACTTGTAGCATTAGTTGCATGAAGGGTCTTGACACCAATCTGCAAAAGATTTTCATTGGATAAAATACTAATTTTGGTGTTACTCAAATTGTGAACGTACATGTGAAGTACCACTTGTGGACAGATAAAAAAGCGAAGCAGTTTACCAGCATCCAGAATTAGTCAAGGTGTATGTACAGCATACGTTTGTGTAACATGCGTGTTTACTTCCTGCTTTCACTTTCTTCCTTCCAACACCTTCCTGCACTGGGATTCTGCAACTAAGGAAACATGCCAAGCCTAAACACGCCCTCTTTTTCTCTCTCTCTCTCCCCCCCTCCCCTTTTTTTTAAATACTTATGTGCACTTTGTATGATTAATACAAGTAGAACAATCTTCTAGGGTTGTAATTGATTATGGCATACATATATGTGTGTGTGACTATACTTCTCTAAAATTGCACAGCTAAGCAGACTTAGACAACTGTATGTCTGCTTATTACTAATGAACACCTTTGTGTGGGTTATATTGCTACTTTAAAGGCATTGGATACAGTCTGTGGATACAGTCTGTGCATCTAGAGAAAATGGATATGAGTATAGTCTTTTCATACTGGTTTTGAATGTATTTTTGCCGTCTTGGGTTAGTAAGATTCAAGGCATTGCTAAATTCTCATATTTTATTTAAGGCTCTGGAAAAAGCAAAAGAGGCTGGAAGAAAGGAAAGAGTATTGGTGAGACAACGTGAACAAATTGCTACTCCAGAAAACATCAACTTAGACCTCACTTACTCGGTAAGTGCTTGGAAATCTTCAATAAGTGAAAGGTGTTGGTAGCAAACCTCCTAAAGAGACGTTCCAGTGTTTGCAGACTGTGTTGTAACGTTCCTAGTAGTGTACCAGATCAGATATGGCCTATGTTTGGGGGCGAGGGAAGTTTATGAAGATAAAGTGAATGACTTCTTGAAGTTAAAAACTTAACATTGGATTGCAAAGATCGGTGTATATCATCAAGTCCATTCCCTTGCAATCTCAAGTACCAGAGAAACCACATAGTCAACATTAAGTGAAGAAGGATGCCTGTGAGCATCTATTCCAGCTACCTACTCACATACAAAACATGCATATCAAAATATAAAAGATGTAAACCGTGTACTACAAAAACAGATAGTCTAGAAAATGTAATGTGCCAAGAGAAGAAAACAGGAAAGATCAGACACTGCCTTTAACTTGAACCATAAAGTGACAGAGAATATATTACATGAAATAGGATATATTGATATTCCTGAATCTTAAAGCAGGTATCTACATTTATATTCTGGTTTTCAAATTAATAGTGGACTTTTCTTAAAAAAAGGATACGACATAAAAATACTTAGGGAGAGTTTAAAGTTGTACTCCAGGTAGTGCTGTAGAGAAAATTATTAACAATGAATACATTGGGTTAGGCAGACCTAGTAATTTATTTTATGGTGAAGGTCAGAGTAAAGCTGGGGAAATGTGGAGATATTTTACTTGATGCTAACAGAACTTCTGTTTTGAAACAATTTGGAAAAATTCTCTCTTCATAAACCGAGTGACCACAGGTAGTAGAACTGTTTTCCACATGTGGGGAGTCATAAGTGACACACAGTTTGTAAGATTATCTTGTGTGAATGGTTTTTTTTATACCCTTGCATTATAACATTGTGTTTACTTAGGTCTAAGGCCTGCTTAACATGACTTTTAATGGTAGTTATTTAAGTACAAAAATAAAAGAATTACCTAGAATAAGTAGATTTGAAACTTGTTTTCTTTATGTCAATGTACAACACCACAGATACATTAAAAGATGGAAAGCTTAAAACTGGTAAAAGCAATACTTCCAAGGTAAATTAATTTGAAATTATCTATTACAAATTCAAGTCTATTACTGGTGAGAGAACATTATCTTCTTGTACCTATAACTCCATTTTTCTATAGGTTCTTTTCAATCTGGCCAGTCAGTATGCTGCTAATGAACTGTATGCTGAAGCACTGAATACTTACCAAGTTATAGTGAAGAATAAGATGTTCAGCAATGGAGGTATGGTACGTTCCAAAGTGGATTAAAATTGGTAATCAGGCATTGAAAATAAGGACTTCGTGTGCATGATGTTGACTCAGAGATCTCAGCCCTCATGTCTGCCAGTCAGAGTCAATGACAGATACTCATAATCTCTGACTTGGTATAACTTAATGTGGTTTGGCTCTTGAACTCACAAAGTCTTTTCTGGCTAAGCTGAACATAAAGCTAAATATATTATTTTCTCATGCAGCACACTGTTGTCTGCTCTAATACTATTTTTTTTCTCTTTTGACTCAGCTTTCCCCTTCTGAAAGCTTCTTTTAGTATTTTGCACATCTTTGGGGCTCCTACAGTGCATTTTTCTGAGAGATGCTTATTTGCAGCTGTCTTACTGGAGGGTGCTATAAATAGTCTCAACCTCATCCTTCAATTCATAATCAGAATCAAAATACACCTTACATTGATAGTTCTTTCCAAGTTTTCATTACTACTTCATCTCCTTCTGAGTGAAAATTCACAGAAGGCTGTTTTGTGGAGTGCTTCTTTAAAGGGACATATGGAGCCCTATAATGAAGACAAATTTATTAAGTTGCTCTGCTCTGAAACTGAAACAATTTAGACATGCTGTAACTATGTTTTGAAAGACTGTAAGTCATTGACTTCTTTTGATAGGTAGGCTGAAGGTGAATATGGGAAATATATATTTAAAACAACGGAACTATTCCAAAGCTATCAAATTCTATCGTATGGCTCTAGACCAGATTCCTAGTGTCCACAAAGAGATGAGGTGAGTTTCTACTTGTAGGCATGGTTCTGAAATATAAATTTTGGATACAGTAGGATTTGATAGTTAAAATTATAACCTAATCCTGATTTCTTTCCTTAGGATTAAAATAATGCAAAATATCGGAGTTGCGTTTATTAAAACTGGCCAATACGTTGATGCCATTTCTTCGTTTGAACATATAATGAGCACGTCCCCAAACCTGAAGGCAGGCTTCAACTTGATCCTGTGTTATTTTGCTATTGGAAATGGTGAGCAAATGAAAAAAGCCTTCCAAAAACTGATTGCAGTTCCCTTGGAAGTGGATTATGATGACAAATACATTTCACCAAACGTAAGTTTGAACAAAATAAACTGTGTCTTTATAAATTAGGAGAAAGGGGGAGAGAGATTGAATGCCTGATTTACACTGAATATGTAAATCAATGTGTATATATGTATCTAAAACAACTGTCTTTTTACCAGCATGAACTTAGTTTGGCAGTACCGCTCAGAAGCGTAAAATAATGTTGAGAACATTAAAGTCCTTTTTTTTTTCTTTTCAAAAGATATGATGCACATAAAACACATACCACACGATTGTCTTCATAATGATTTTTTTTTTTTTTTAAATTAACCTGGGCTGACTTACATAGCTCACTGCTTTGCCTCCTTTATATAAAATTTTAATAAAATACTCATAAGCTAAAATAAAGGGAGCAAAGCAATGAGTGAGTTAACGCAAGTTATCTCAAATGAGTGCTAATAAAACTTGTAATACAGTCATGTTATTTTACAGAAGAAAATATTAGTGAAGTTTACTTATGCTTATTTTAGTTTATTAGACTTTGTTGGAAACTGTACTTCCTTTGTACCATGAAACCAGCAGCTCCTGATGTTAAAGACAGGAATAGAATCATAGAATGGTTTGGGTTGGAAAGGACCTCAAAGATCATCTAGTTCCAACCTCCCTGCCATGGGCAAAAGTGATCAATAGGTTTACCGTCCCTCTTAGAAAGGTCTTCTATAATCAAGGCAAGCCCTTTGTATTCTCTTAGCAGTCTTTTTTCAGTGATACAAAGCTTTCATTTTCAGTCCTAAAGATCAAAGATATAATTAGTCTTCAAACTATTTGCAGCTTAAGAGTAGCTGTTGCTTCCTATTGTTCTAGCATAAGCAAATAAAATTTAATATATGAAGCATATATATTTATTTATACTT